CAGAGCAGTTCCTGCTCACAGGCCCCACCAGACCCCCCTCTCCCAGAACTCAGGAATCTGTTCTCTGTACAGTTGTTTTATTGAAATCAAGTTGACTCTGTTTTTACACGAGGGCCTCGGGGCGTCCTTCCAAAGGGAAGGAAGTCTCCTCTTTAAAAAGCATTTCTACATCAGCTGACCAATCAATCAAAGAAAGGAAGAGGGTAACAAACATCAACACTCCCTAAGACATGCACGGCTGGGACAGGGGACTGGCTGCAGAGTGGGGCTGAGGGAGGGAAATCTCTCTTAAGCTTTGCATTTGATTTACAGAGAGGACAGAGGTGCCTGGGTCAGCCCCCGAGGAGATCCTGCTTCCTCCAGTTCCATTTCAGCCTGGGAGAAGACAAATCCAAACAAGCAGATGCAGCTACAGGAGAATTCTTTCTCTGGAGAGCTCCAAGGCCTGTGCAGGGTACAGCAAGGAGCAGCCTCCTCACAGCCAGGTGCTGTGGGGCACAGACTCCAAGGGCTCGAGGTCAGTCGCTGAATTGAGCCTCCTCTTCCCACACCTCAGCAGCTTCCACCCCACCACTGGAGCCCAGAAGCTGCAGATTCCTTTGGAGACCCTCTGGTGCTTTCAGGAGATCTCTATTGTTTCTGTTTCTTCTCTTGGGAACCAGCCTGCAGAGCAAAAGGCAGGGACCCTACACCCCTCACCCAGCAGGGACAGAAGGGGAGTGTCAGAGCTCCTGGCAGCAGCACGTCCTCACCCTCAAGCCTCCATTTGGTTACTAGCCTTGCATTTGGTTTGGGGCTTTGTTTTTTCAACTTTCAGAGGAGCACTGGTTACTACAGCCTCTGAGAGAGCCTTTATTCTTCAGACCACTGAGGAGGAGACCACCCATCACCAGCTCCAGCCTGCTGCCCCTTCTCTGTCCTCAGTTTTCAGGGCAGGAGCACAGGCAGCAGCCACCCGACACCTCCTCAAGAGATTGGCCCCAATTTCACCTTAGCAAGTGGTTAATTAGTATTCATTTTAGTCCACCCTCAAAAGAAGAGGAGACATGAGAGGTGAGAAAGCAGAGACGTGGCTGCAACCTTAACTCTGGGCAGCCATCTCCTTGACTGAATCCATTTAGCCACGGTTAAGGGGGGGTGGGAGATGAGGAAGAAGTGAGGATGAAGAGGCAGCCGTATTTCAAAATGCTGAGGGACCCAACACCCCCTCCAGGGAAAGGGGGGGCCCTGCAGAGGCATCACCTTCACCTTCCAGTGCACAAAACCCCAGCCCAAGAGCTGTTTGTTTCCTCACCACTGCTCCACCACCACCATGAGGCCAGACGTGCAGGGACAGACCCCTGGGAGCTCCAATATCTGCCCAAAGTGGCAATTCACACCCACCCACCTCCTCCCTGCACTGTTAGTTGGGCTCAGTGCCCCCAAACCACCTTCCAGCACCATCCCCGTGGCAGGACAGTGGCCAGCAGAGCCCCTCTCTGCTCACAGACCCCCAGGGAGGTGCAGAGCTGCCCGGGGCAGCAGGAGCACAGCCCTCCAGAGCTGGACGTGCCACCACCCCCCTGACAAGGCTGCACTTGGGACAGGAAAAAGAAATGAACCAAAAAAATAAATCATCCCTTCAAGTAATTGAAAGCAGCCCCTTCTGGAGGGGACAGCTGACAGAAGCAGTGACCAGCTGGGCCCTTTTGGGGGGGATAAGGCAAAAAAAGTCTGAAGTCCTGGAGGGGTTGGAAGAATGAGAAGGTGTCAGTAGTGAAAGAGTAAAGAGTTATTCCTTAGGTTGCTTCTTCACACTCCTGTGATTCTCATCTCCAAGTGAGCAGCACCACCAGCTGCCTCCAGCTACTTCTGCACACAGCTTGGCCAGGTGAGGCCACTGCAGGCAGCCGACAGGATGATGTAGATGATGACCTGGGGAAAGAAAAGAGGAGTTTCTCTTCAGCCCCCAGCCAGCTGCCCTCTCAGCCTGGCAATGAAAACACAACCTTGGAAACCCCAGGCCATGAAAACGACTCCTCCAGTGCCCCCCCAGGGCTTGGTGCCAGCTGCCTCCTGCCTGCCAGACCTTTGCTCCTGAGGGAGGTGGCACTCAGAAGCCAGGCAGAACTCTCTGGGAAGCTCCCTCTGC